AACCTTACAAGTATTTTTTTTTTTTTTTTTATAAGGGTAATGGTTAAGAAGTTAGTAGAGTTAGTTTGTTAGCAGTTAAGGTTTTTTAAAATTGTGAACATTTTACCCCCTCATAAAAGAGGCGCGATTATTAAATCACAAAATGGTGAAATTTACGGCGGTGACAGAGGTCAAAACCCTAACTTCCACCTCACTCAAACCTTAAAATTTGGGGACCAACCATTGGGCTACATGCTCGGTTGGTTGGTTGGTTAACCTTACAAGTATTCAATAATTCAAATCAGAGTGCGCTTGAATTCAAACCGTAACCCGACCCAAATATTTTCTCGACTCGTCAAATCTCTAACGAAAAATGTCGCTTTTCGATCACTGGGCATGCACAGGACCGGAGATCGAGAAGTCGCTTTCTTTCGCTTCAAATTTCCAACACTGCTTTAAAATAATTGTCTTTATCCGGCTCCAGTTTTCGTCACGTTAATTTGTAAAATAAAAAACTTTCGATCCAGTAATTCGTTCATAGATCTTAAATATTTTAATATAATTGAATAAAAATTTAATTTTTATTAATTTCTTAAAAAAATATCTTCATCTTCTTAAATTTTTTGATGTTAAAATAATAATAATATTAATAATAATAATAAATTTTTTTTATTAATCTAATGAAATTATTTTAATAATTTTCTTGCCCAAACTTCACGATCGAAAAACACATGATTCCCTTCGTGAAAAACATTGGCTACCAAAAGTCTCAAATTCTTCGATCAAATCAATCAGTCATTCTCTCTTAGCAGGGTTCCAACTTAAGTTTTCAAAATTCACAGTGAGAATCCCATGACTCTTTGGCTAAAGCAATTTCTATAAAGTAGCGTATTCATTTGTTTGAACGTCTCGTGGGCTCCATGAGAAAAAACCACTACAAACCACTATTCATGAGTAGCTAAAATGACTTAGGGTGAGCCGAAGCTTCCACTGATCTAACTCAGTTTACATAACCTTTAAAAGCTGAAACTTGAATTAATTAATTTTAGTTATATTATGATTGAAGGAATGTCGAGGTCCAAAAAGAAATGTATATTGTAAATGTTTGCAATGTGAACACAAGCACCCATATTTTCACGGCTGAAGGCTACAGGCTTAATTCTGAGTGATCTTTATTGTAAAGTGAAGAAGACAATGAAAGTGATTAAAGTTGTTCAGAATCTTTAGCCAATTTTATCATATGGAATCCTCCTCATTTTTCGTCCCATGGACCACTGCATTTATGTAAAAATCTACACATAAACTGACTTTGATGGAAACGTTTGCTTATGCCCCTCTCTTTACGGCTCCATTTTCAACCAAGTGTAGTGCGGACCCCCTAATCTGCAATGCAACCTCGACCTGTCCATATCAAAAGTAGGCTTGATTATCGATCTATCTTAAAGTTTGTATGTACCAGGCTAAATCACTTTTATGATTCCATGTATAATTAAAGGTAAGATTAGGAGATTTGTTAAAATTTACTACTCACAACCTTCTCAAAGAAAAACAGGAGGGGGAAATGAGAGCATGTTATTTGCTCGTCCACTAATGGAAAAAAAAAAAAAAAACATTGTGCCAACAAAAAAGGGGATAAAGGAAAAGACTTTGAAGAAAACATCTGAGCCTGGCCCGTAATAGGTGGACTGGACGGAACTTAATTATAAGGTTCTAATTCGAGATTTCGAGTGGAAAAGAGGCCTGGCCCAACCTCAGTAATAAATCAGTGTTCTGAAGGAAAGGTGAAGCCCAAAACACGATTTTCAGCCTTGTCCTTAATTACTAAAACATGTTAACGATTAAGTGCAAATTAGTGTTATTACAAAGTCGAGTCATATGTAACTCAAAGTGTTTATATTGAGTAGCCAAAAGAAAATTGTAAGTCAAAAGGTATGGACCATCAGTAAGAAAGAGTTCTTTTTAGGTTAAGCTTAGGGTTTACATTTGATGTCAAAATTTGAACAAATTTTATTTTATTTTTTAAATATACTAGATCGATGCAAGGGCGTAATGTGTATTTAAAAGCATCTAAAAAGAATTTCATGTAACTTATGTGTAAACTAACTCAAGACAGCATGCAAAAAAAGGAGTCACATGAGGGATGGTAACTACAGTGCTTCCTTTATTCTTAAAGTAGTATCTAGGAAAAGAATTACTTCTAAGCACATTAGATCGGACCGAAACCATGGTATTAGATTCTAGGCTAAATTCTCAAGTACTCCAATTGCAATGAATTGCCAATCTTCAAAAAAAGAAAAAAGTACTCCAATAGCAAGCCCCTCTTTCCTTTTAATCCTTTTTCTTTATGTTGTATTCTTTTGTGAAAAAAATGAAAATTTCATCCACATATAATATGTAGTTGGGGATTTTCAAATTGATTTGTAAGAAAAAAATGTAAAAAAACTTATAAAATTAATTAAATATTTTTAATAAATCAACACATAAAAATTTATTTAAAATATTTAAATAATTTTATGAGTATTACTTTACTTTTTTTTCTTGGACGTGAACCTAAAAACCACTTTTATGATGTAATATACAATAGAGAAATAATTGATATATTTTTCAGCTCAACACATCAACTAACATCTATTGGTTCAATTATTAAAATTAGTGATTGAAAGTTTTTTTCGTTTTGAATTCAATTTTAAAAATAATAATTTATTAATAAGTGTATTGTAAAATAATTATAAAGTATATTAAACTAAAATGTGTGCTAATTATTATTTTATATAATATAAATATTTGTACTATTACTAGCCAATACAAGCCTTAAGGAATATGCCCACAACAATGTTCCCCTTGGTGCCATGAGTGTTGCGTGAGCCCATTCATTAAACAATTAATGTCGCTTTAGCTACTCGTATTATATAGTTAATTACTACTATATGACATGCACGTCACATAATTAATCCATGAAAATCGACTAATCAGATACAATATTTGCGGTTGTGAATTAAATTTTTAAATACAATTTTTTTATTGAACAAAATATTTTATTAAAAAATACAAGAGATACTCTAAAACGTAACTACACGCATTTAAAGACTACCTCCTCATCTTTCATTAAATTAAAAGTTGAGTGACCTAGGAAGATGTACTAGCATCTCCTCTAAGGATTAAGTGTTCACATTATGACTTTTTTTTTTTTTATTTAAGGTTGTACAATAAAAAGCAATCATTTTTTATCTCATAATTCATTTTATTTGCATATCATGTCATTCAAATTAAAAAATTATTACTTTTAGTAAAAAAAAATTACTACCGACTTACTTTAAATAATTGACTTATAACTTAGTTAATCTCAATTTGTGAAGAAAGTTTTTCAATTTTGTCTTAATCAAATATTTTTATAATTTCACTAAAACATAGTCATTTACTCCAATGAAAGGAGCCCAACATGCAGATTTTAAGGACACAAATGAATCAATAAATGTAATTACAAACGGAATGATTAAACCGATATAAGTTGAACTAAATTAATCTGAATATAGTAAGACGTGAATTGAGATTTCATTGATCATAAATTATATATATAGTATGATTCTTCAATAATTATGAGAGTTTATTCTTCCTAAAATGTGACACCACGTGAAAATATATGTACGCATCCATTCACCTAATTTACTAGTAAGACGACTGGCTCTGAGCAATTCGGTAGTGAGTCTCTAGTAAGTAGTAACTTATCCTCTACTTAATTTTTGGAAAAAGGTGAAGAGAAACCTCATGGAGAAAATCCTTAGGGAAAATATTTTTTTCAAGATCTAGATCCTTAAACTTAATTCAAGAATTAAAAAGACTTAGATTTTGAGAGAAAGATATACAATAATGAGGAGGATAAATTACAATTACCTCCCCAAAAGAACTGTTTCTTTGACCTGGACTTGTTCCAAGTTTAGGAAGCAACTCATGGTCACAAAGATTGCAGACCAAGCCAAGGTTGCTCACAAGGGTAGCAGACCAAGCCAGCTTATATGTGACATCACAGGAAGATATATATACTACTCCATTCACTTAATTTTACTAGTATACGACTTACCTTCTAATTAATTCTTGGAAAATGACTTCTTTTAAACTGTAGTTTAAATATCTCATTAATGTCATATGAGCTGTAAAATAAGTGCCACTTAGAGATAAATAAGCATAATTAAATATTTTATTCAGCTACACGCTATTGTGATCATTAAGAAAAATGCGAGCAAGAGCTGGTTTGGTATACCTCTAACTTTTTTATAAGTTTTATTTGAGTAGACCCCAAAAAATAAAAATACTCTTTTTAATTTAATTTAATCATCACACTTTTCAAAAAAAGCAATGAAAATTAGTATCTAAAGGGTTTAGGCACATTGTATGACTCTAGAGGAAATAAGAAAGCATTTGCTAAATTTGATTATGTATTATAGGTCTTTAAGTTACAGCTTTTTCTCTATGTAGAATTGATTTTGACTTGTATTATGCACCAAGTCAGATCCAAAATGAAACCTCTAGAGTTGTACTCTAAAATTAATAAAATTTTTAATTTATCTTTAAAAAAATATAAGATTTAATAAACCATCAGTCTCAATCAAAAAGGAAAAACAAAGGAAACTTCCAACTGCCGAAAGTTAATGAAGAAAAAAATGGTGATATGCCAAGTAGCCATCGAGAAACATTGCCAAAAACAAGAGTTTAAATTAAAAAGAGCTTACAAATTTTAAATTTGTTAAGTCATTTTTGGGTGTTTCAGAGAAGTTGAAAATTAAATTAAGAAGCTTAACTTAATAGATTAGTTTATTTTATATTTAAGTCATGTTGTATTTAGTTTCCATCTGTGGGTAGTGCAGAATGGCTCTGATTAATCTGCCTCTAAAAAAAAAAAAAAGAAAAGAAAAGAAAAGAAAAGAAAGAAATAAACAGCTTTTGATTAATCTAAATAGTCGTTGTCAAGGAAAAAACATGTTTAAATCATTCTTGCATTTAATTCATCAATTGCGTGCAACACCTTTGCACTGCCGAAAACCTCTTATTACCAACGCAATTTAGATTTTTTTTCTTTCTTGAAAAAAAATTATACGTACATTATATATGTATTTATGCTGAGAACAATAGTGATTGTGAAAGATTGGAGTATCTTTCGTATTTTTAAGAAATAAAATTTTCTTTTTGTGGATCAAAACTGGATATGTGTAGGTCTCGAGAACAAGGTTATTTTCAAATGATTGAGACTGTCCTTTTTAAGTTGAAAAATTCAATATACATCCAATTACATGGTTGGTGGTCCACATAGGGTTGCTTTTAATTCCAATAATATTCCGTTGAAAAAAAAATATAAAGAAGAAAAGAAATAAATAATATTGGAAAATCCGAAAATAGGGTTGGCCTCAGGAATGGCTCAATGTTCAGTGCTCCGACAAATTAAGGGGCCTTTTAAAAGCAAAAGTTAGCTGAGGCAACCTTTTTTATATAATTACTTTTTCTTTATAACTTTTATATATTATTAAATAAATAATATTAAGAATTTTTGGGTAAAATATAAAAAATATTCAATCATTAAATGAACATATAAAATTATATTAAAAAATTATATAAAAAAAATTCATTTTCCACCTTAATTATACAGGGTATTAAATTATTAATTTGTGCTAATATAATCCTACTAATCCTTCAACTAAAATTTTATCCTCAATTGGCAATCCCTCTCAATCTATTTGTGCACTCCTCACCTCTGGCTTTGAATATGTAATTTTAAACTTAATATTTTAAATTCTTATTGATTGAGATAACCTTTTAAAGATTTTTTTTTTATCTTTTAATTTTTGAAATTGTTGAGATGAAAATTTATTTTACAATTGTAAAATATTGATCCTTGAATAAAAAATGTGTCTTTTAATATTTAAGACTTTCTCTCCATTTAAAGATTTTTGTTTTATAGTCTAAACTATAAAACAACATACCCTTGTTGGGAAGGAAAGTACATACTCTTGTTGGGAAGGAAAGTATCATCCAACTTGTGTTTTACGAATATACAATTAACTCATTGATTCTTGCTAGTGCTTGTTCTCCTTTAACTAAATATATGTACTGCATCCATGCAATCAACAGCCTGCATGAATGCCTCTAGTTTGGAAAGCTGTGATTGACATATATTCTTCCAAAAATTTAGCTCGATAGCTTTATTAAGGTAGATATATCTTTCTACTTTGACGCACATGCATCTAATCATATATGCAAGCCCTCTTTTGTCTCTGAGCCAATGCTTTTTTTCATGGAAATTGTTAATTTATTATATGGGAGTTTATGCAACTTTTCTGTCAAGAAAACCAGCACAAGAATATTCTCTCTGCCCAGATAATTAGGTAGAATGTGCATTACTCCTTAACGTTTTAAGGTGCGAATCTCACCTGTTGGTCCTTATAACAATCAATTCCTTTCTCAGAGAGTAAGATATTGGTATAAAGTGTGTAAGCCCTAGGGCCGGCCGGAGAGAAAAGGAAAAAGGAAGAAGAAACTTTAATTATGGTCCTTTTGCTTTGCCCATAATTTGATTAATTAGGGCATAACTTTTAAATTAATGTCGGCCTCATGCAAACCATTTTCATGTGGTTTGTGAAACCACTGTTGGTTTTTTTGCTTAATTCGTTTCTTTTTCTTTTATGTTACTCTGTTTTCCA